AACATTTTTGTTTTTGTTACATCTGCTCCTTTGGAAATTCATCTGACCACCACTCTGCATTAAACAATAATTTGTTAAATAAATTGTACGTTATTAAATCAAAAGTGCTTAAGCAGCAATGGATTATGTTAAGCATCTGCAAGCACGTGTAGCTAGCTAAAACAAAGCGAGATACTGAGGGGAGAGGGAGAAATACTGACGACAGAGGAGGAAGCGGTTCAGGGTGTGAAGAATGCCTCTTCTCATTGGAAGAAGTTCGATCCAACCAATCAGAAGCAGAGGAGGGCAGGGCCAAATAGCAAATAGCGTTGGGCTATAAAACAGTTCACTCTGCTCTTGAACTTCATACTAAACTCAATATCAATCTCTTTTTTTTTAACCTAAATTCCATGTTAGCTTGTTTTGCACAGAACATGATTGAAATGTTAAAGTTGCACCTTATCTGATTTCAAGATTCCACTGTGTTTCATTTCAATTGTGTATTTTTTCATTTTATACTTTCTATAGTAGGTTTTATTTTATTTTTAGCTATGAAAAGGCAAGAAGAAGCTAAATGTAATTTCAAGAAACACAGTTAATAGTTTGAAACAGTGCTGTCTTTATTTAAAGTGTTTTTGAAATGTACTGAATTAATTTGTCTTTCAGGTATTCATTACATGCAGGCTACTTAATAATATATTGCGGTAAAGAGTTAGACATTATAATCTTCTGGACCTTTGTTGAATAACCCTGCTGTAGGTTTATGATGATAAATTTATTTAGTTATGCAGTTGTCTTCATTTTAAACTACATATTAAATTACAAATAATGATAAATTGCTTTTTTTCCTACAGATTGAAGAATGTGCCTTTAACATTAAAAAGCAGTAAGCAAAAACTGATGGGTGAACAACATTTGAAGCGTTTGGCGGAACTGGATGAACATGATAGCTGCATTCGCGCCCCTTCAGGCAGGTTCCCCAGGGAAGCCGTTCTTCCGCAGTCTTCCACTGCACAGTTGAAAGATGCACAGAGACGATAACAGACTCCGGTAAGTGTGCCGGCCTTGATCTTTCTGCCACTACATATCTCTCTAGTCTATGAGAGAAGACGAGAAGCAAAAGAGCCTCTCATACATTCAGCTGTAATCTGTGATTTGGGAAGCACTATCCACCTCCATTATCACCTCGTCTCCCAGAGGAAGAGGCAGAATTGCATTTTCCACTGATTCACCGTGGCTGCTTGCTAGATCACATGTGCATTTTGAGGGATTTGGGGCATTATTCATCTTTCAGTCAGGATATCTATTTTAAACCAGATTGATAAGTGAGGTTTAAATCAGTGAGATTAGTAAATACTATATAGTACTGGGTTCAGGTATAAAATAAATCGGCATCTAAAGGTTTCCAGATTTTGCTTAACAGTTTTCGGCATTTCTTTTTCGATGTGTACTCAATCCCTTAACCTATGTTTTCTTGTACAAATATAATACATGTGTAAATTAGTGTAAATGTTTCATACTTAAATTCACAGCATTGCCCATGTTTGTAAAAATTCCACTTATACGTGTGTGTGATCTACACGTGAGGTTCAGGTCCTGCATGATATTGTTATGCCTGTGGGTTTTGGGGATATAGTTCTGGGCAATATGACCAAAAAACCTAATCACAGTCAGAACAATCAATCAAAAACAAAATATGATTTTTAAGTTATTTTTTTTAGAATAACACTTTTGAAAAATTAAAGCCAACAAAAAAAATACCCTTCCAATTAAATAAAAAATTATAATAAAACAACATTCAACTATTATTTACCAATTATTCTCAGTTTGCATGTGTAATAGAAAAAATATTTAGTGTCTTGCTGTCAGCGATACAACAGGAAGTTACATCACAACAGGAAGTAACAAGTTCCTCGAATAAAGCAGAACAACTAGGGTCTGTCCTGGTCTCCAGATACTGAGGGAGACATACAGCTGGAAGCTAGCTTTCTTATCCTCTTTCCCCCTCCCTGATCTTTTTTTTTCAAATGCAGCATGAATTTAGCTAATAGCATCTCTAATTTCTAAGCTAAATAAAGCCACGTTTTCTGTTTAAATCGTCTTAAACATTGCTTTCAGAGAATTCTTACTTGGGTTATGAATTAATATTTCAATAACAAAGAAAATGCAAATATGATGAAAATTTCAAATCTGTCTCCAGAAACTTGTTTTTGGAGGTGCTTTTTTGGTAAAGTTAACGGTGTCTGACCTGAATTTACACCTTCTATTCCACAGTATGGTTCTGTTTGAGCCGGGACTGGAATAAATTGGTTGTGCTGCTTCCGTTTGTTGCTATGCACTTTAGGCAAATTTTGGAGTGGTGTTTTGCAGAACGATCAAATTACAGACGTTCATGGTTTTCGTATATTAAGGAGATTTTTAAATTCCGACTGAATCACAGATCGAAGGAGGTCTACTAGTACTTTCCAGGGCTTTGGAGAATTACAGTAAATTGAGAATCTGAGAGAGTAAATTAGCATATGAAACCTGATTTTATTTTTAAACAAGCCTATATCCACAAGCTTGAATTAATCTATTTTTAAATTAAGCTCAAATCCCAGTTTTATCGACCATAAGACATTTCAGTTACATTTTAATACTTAAGAAAAGGGGTGCTCACACTTTTTCAACTTGCGAGCTACTTTTAAAATGACCAAGTCAAAGTGATCTTCCCGCTACAAAAATGTAAAACATCAGTCAACAAACAATTATTTTAAACTTTATTGGGAATTGACAAAACACACATAATAATTAATTATTTACATTTTTTGTAATAACGTGAGTTTAATTTGATGACTTGCACTGAATTGAATCATTAGAAGAGTTGTGTGTGACCTGAATTTGATGGTAATAGAGTGATTTTTATGGGAGCAATTGAGCTTTGATTCAAATAATCAAGAATAAAAATGATGCTCTAATAAATTTTTCAATATTTATTGAAACTGAGTTGTGCAGTACAATATACAGGTGAGGAGTGGCATGTTGCTTGATTTTGGTTGTAATAGAGCAATTTCGAATGAAGTTATGAAGCATATTCTGGGTAAAACATATTTTGGATCTGGTAATTTGCAGACGGTCCCTAAGCGGGTTGCGTATAGACGGTAATGTGTTTCTGGGAACGCAGAAGGAAACTTGTTTTGATTAAAAAAAAACCGTTTGTCCGCTAGATAACAGAGATTAAAAATAGGTATTATTTGTACAAAAAGAACATTCTGGTCTCGAGCTACTGAGCAGAGAAAACCGAATCCGTGAATCTGCAGCTAACTTTACTGAACTGTGACGGGATGAATGATCGTCTGATATTGTTTCTATTTGAGCACCCCTGCTATAGAAGTATACAGTTTTAAAAGTAGACATCAATATAGATCAGTCTAATCTGATGAATGATCTATTCTATTGCCATACCAAAGGACAGTTGTTGAGATTTCAAAATTATATAAAACAATGTATTAACTGCTTTTTTTGGTAGTTAACATATTATGTTTTGGTAAATTGTCACCACAATCTGATGATTCAATTTAGACCATAATATAGAAAAAGGACATTATAGATGTGTAATGGACATTTTTTAACTCTGATTTAAACATGTTTGTCAACTAAAATAATGTGCATATTCAATTTTTGGTTTTCTAAAACAAATGGGTTTTTTTTTGTTCTTTTAGTTCCACAATAGAACAGAATTCAAACAGTTTTTATATTCTAGTTAATCAATCCATTTCAATCATCTTTTCATCATTCCATGTTCTTTAATATTAACTCTGGTGGAGATATTTTTTGAATAACCTCATTGCCTTCATTAGCCTTTTTAAGGCATGCACTACGTGCACAATTTAAATATTTCTCTAGCTTTACAGTTTATGGCAATACAATATCTCCCAAAGGCATTTACACAAGTTTACTTGTAGTTAATGAGACGCATATTTGCACATGCAGACACTTGTTAAAAAACATGTTTATCTCCCTTTAGTGATGGTGTAGCACCTGCTTTGTTTGCTAGAGTACATGAGAGACAATCAGTGCTAAAGAGAATGTTATGTTCACACAGTCAATTCCAACTTACCGTTCCAGATTTACTGATCAATAAGCTTCATCTCCTGGGATCTTCAGCTTTGACTTGAATTTTATTAGTTCAGCAAACATCCCTCTAATTTATCCTTTTATATTTAACGGTTCACTTTATGTCAGTTTAAGTCCCAATATGATGCACACTTTTCTAGTTGTGGTTAATTTGACACGACTCTCTCTGTTGAATTAATTTAGTCCCCAAATGGCTGTCAAATTATTGTTTCTTTCATTGAAGTGTTTTCAATGTTTCTTATGAGTTTTGAATGGTTTGTATTTTACTTGAATTCAGCCTTGCTTCTGTAACAGACAACAGTGAAATATATTGTTTAATGAAAAGCACTAAATACCTTTATTGAAGGGTTTCATTAGGTGTTGGCGCCAAATCAATACTGAAAATGTTACCAATTCCTATACGATACTTAAATCTGTACTTTATTTTAAAAAATAATCAACTTTATTTCAGCTTTGCGACATTCATGAACAATATTAATTTAAAACATATAAACTTTGTATTGATGGCCAGTGCATACCACAAACATTGGCTTCATTAATCTGCATAAGAGTGAGTTAATTTGAAGACTATGGGCATTTAGTTTCCTTTTTATCATTTGTTTTTAAAGTTTTGTTGTGCTCATGCAATCATGTTGGAAATGCTCGGATATGTATGACATCACTCCAGAAAAATATGATCAATAATTCCAATCAATGTTATAAGCATTTGAAAGTAACAATGGATACCATTTTTGTTAGTTGTTGGGTCAACGGAGATGTTAAGGTGCTTCTGGATAACAATCATTTGTTTTGACATTTCTGTTTCTCAGGCACACTTTGTGTTTTTAATCCATCCGGCAATGTTTATTTTTGTATTCGCAAATGACCTCTGTAAAAATTCCAGTGGATGGAGTGTGGATGTCTGAGCTTTCCTGTGGCTCAGTTGGTAGAGCATTGCACTAACTATGCAAAAGGTCATGGGTTCACATCCCAGGGAAAGCAAGAACAGACAAAAAATGTGTTCATTCATTTAAACGTAAGTCGCTTTGGACAAATGCATTAATGTAAATGTAAATGTTGATTGTGTAAAATGTGATTCTTGTGTGTTTTAAAAAAACATGAACTTGCCACACAACAACTGGTGCCCCAGAATTCAAGTTTATGGTGTTTTTAAACCCACCAACAGGGCCACTGCAGGCCAAATGGATGTCCTAAGCAAATATGTCCCTCGGTGCCCCCCAAAATGCGCCCTACACACAATTTCACAAAAAGTTTGTGAGGAAATAACTCAAAAATACCACAACAAAATATTCTTACATTTTGGATCATGACATATTATAATAATGTAAAGGGTTTTTGATTGCATCCATTTGAGAAAACGAGACATGGAACCTCAAAGCAAAATGAGCAGGTCTTGCCCTGGGGTTAATAAATTCCATAATTGAAACCATAATTTAAAAAATTCACGTTTATTAACAGATATTAACAGACTGAGTACAAATCACTTTGTTTACATTGTAAGTGTTTTAATGTGTTGTAAGTGAACCAGAAACCATGTAGATTTCCTTCAATAGCATGAACACGACAGAATAAGATTATGCCAAAAGCGTTCCGTCTTTTTATGGTGGACCCGTAAGCGTCAATGAGAAGCCGGATTCAGCTCGTATTTAAATAACTCTAGAATTTTAAAGTATTTATAAAATACACACAGATTTATGCATATAACAATAGTAATTTATTATTAAAACATAGCTGTCACTGGTGCCCCCCTCTGCCAGTTGGGGCCCTACATAGACTGCGTAACTTGCATGTAGGGAGTGGCACTACTCCCTAAAACAATTTATGAGGATGAAATCCTCCAAAGTTTAAAAAAAAAAAACAATTAACAAGAAGAGCTACATTTAAAAAAAAGTTGAGCTTGGCTACATTAATATCAGGTTCAGGTAAGATTATTTTAATTTCAGCGGTCATTACGTTAATTTGATATACATAAAAACATCTGTGATACATAACCAAAAACACAATCTGAACACCAATCAAGAGATTGCAAGCCAAACTCAGACACTTGTATCTCTGTAAAACTCACCGCCTTGTTACACCTCTAACACTTGTTACAGACTCTAACTCAAACGTCGTTTGTAAAAGTATTTCTGTCCGAATAGGGCTTTAGTTATTTAGCCATCCTCAGTAAACGAGCCTCAATGTACTCAACACTTTAGTTTGTACGAATTGCAGCAAGTGTCTACATTATAGTATTATGTTAAAACATAATAAGTAAATGATAACTTAATATAATTATAGATCTGTTAAAAGGATTTTAAAGGTTTGATAATTACATTTTCTTGCAAAAAATGTATTTCTTTAACTTGTCACCCAGTGTTAACAACTTAGCGACTTTTCAGACCCACTAGCGACCTTTCTTATTCCTAGGGACTAGCGACTAATCTAGTGATTTTTCCTGGTGTCTTTCACTCAGTGACTTTTTTTATTTTGGCTGACAAGATCTTCAGAGTAAGGAACCACTAACCCCACCACCCCCCATTCCACACACATATGCTTTCCTTTTTTGTCTTGTGGTGACATTTTCCACATACTAATCACATCAGTGTTCCACAGCACAGCTCACAGATCAGCATATAGAAGAGCATTCTATGGTAAACTAATTTCTTTTTGCTCAAAGACATGTTTAAACGTGAGGTTGACATCCAGACTACTGTTACAATTGGTTTAATGTTCTACTGACAATGAAACAGAGTATGTTATGGTCCATGTTTGACTCCAATATGATACACTGCACATAACAATATCACTGTCTAGCATTCTATGTTTGGCTCTGAGTGTTTTTTCCTCCAGTGGCACAGTTTTCCTTTATTTTCAGGTCTTAATGAAAATGTATTGTTTATGAAGTCCAGTACGTAATGAAATCTGTCTGGAATTTCAACCCCAGAGTTCATTAGAATTGATTTTGCTGGACCTCTGTTTCTGTTTTGGCCATTTTGTCTGCAGAGTCTATTGCAAGCTGTTTGAAGGGGATTTGATAAGAGTCATAAGTTTAGGAGTTACATTTTCTTTAAACAGAGATTGGTTTTATATGGAGTATGAAGTGTTTGTTACGAATGTAAAATGTGATGCCATTGTGCTTCTTCTTTTTACAATATTCATGGGGTCATGAACTGAGTAACCAAAATGTACTTCATATTTTGACAGATAAAAGCAGACGGAGCAATAATGGTACAGTGAACATTTCAGGACTTGTTTTGATGACAAAATGTTTGTTTTATTTTTTTTTAAAAGTCAACATATTCTAATTACAGTAGATAAAGCCAGTGTTTGGAAGAATACATCTGTTTTTCACCATCATTATAAAGAAAATTAGTTTGAAAATCGACAATTTGACACTTTTTCGCTCACTACTGCGTAAGAAGCAAAACTCAACAAGCAAGTAAAAACCATGAGCCAATATAGTGGAAAAACTGTCTGTAAGACTTTCTAATCCATTCAATGCTGTGTTATTATTTATATTTATTTTTAAAGGGGAAAGACCAAACAGACTGTTTTTATGGAAGTGTGTTGCTAAATGGTGTTTCAGACGCACACATGGGCACGTAACGCTGTTACTCTCTCTTTCACTCTGTTTTGCTCCACTGCACTTTCATCACACACTCTCATAAACACTAAACCAGAGAATGTGCTTTGTAATTCCAAAACTAACAAAGATCTGCCATAAAACGGTTGCTGCCATGGTGACCACATACAAAGTTACATTTAAAAGATTTAAATTCTTGTTTATTTTTCTTTCTAATTGCTTGAACACATGCATGTAAAACTTACTTCTGCTGCTGCTGCTGCTTTTCCACTTATGGTAATGAATCTCATGCACAAATGTTTTTGTGTTAAAGGAGCATTAGATATGGAAGTCTTCCATATTCAAACTCCTGTCCATTAATAATTAACAGCTACAAATTTGGCTGAACGTTCTAAGAAAAAGTTAGAAAGTTCTAATATTCTATACTGTCAAAAATGTATTTAATGCAATTCTTTTTAAAAAAATACTTCAATGTGACTTGGATATATCTTTGACGCATAAAAATGGCAGATCTCTCTATTCTTTTTATTGGCAAAAACCGGACATTTGCCCCTTAATTAAGTAAAATTAACTGGGTTTGTTAAACAAAAGGGTAAGAACATATTAAAACGATATTTGCTTGTGTGTAAAAAGCTCTTTATTTATTGTGTCATGACTGCAATCCCTCCTTCATGGTTTCAAAGAATCTTAAGTGTTTTTCTTCTTTGCTGCTAAAGACACTGATCTATATTTCAAATATCACTCAGTCTGCAAGAAGATTGTTTCTTTCCCATGGTTCAGAGATACTTTTGATAGAAAAAAAATAGTATCAAGAGAATGCTTGAGCCATAGTGTGTACATTCGAAAAACCTAGAGCTTTAATGCATTCTGGCCGAGTGCGTGAGATCTTGAATACCAGTCAGCTGTTGTGTGTGTGTGAAATCCTGGATGAGTATTCAGCTCTCCGTCTGCCCTTTCCACGCTGGCTGCCTGGCTACCTGTCGGCTCATCTATCGGCAGAAGAAAAGAGCTGTGTCTTAATCTGACAGCAGTCAGGGTCTGAGAGAGCAGTAAGTGGACACGCCAGTGATCTGCTGAGACTGAGCACCACAGGCTCCTTCTGTTGTAGATATATTAAACAGTGAGCAAGCGTGTGCATGTGTGACATACCTTAAATCTGTGTGGTGATGAATGCATGCAATATGTGTTTGTGCCAGAGGGGCTTTATCATCTTTCTTTGAAGGAAAACTTTGGGATGATTCATTAGCATGAGAGAAAGGGGTGGGGAGTATGGAGGGGTTGGAAGCTTAACCAATGAGGAGGGGTGAACAAAATGAATATGGACATTTTACAGAGAACACATCTTTTTTTATCTTTTTTCTTTGTGTTATTCCCATTACACAATCACATCTGGAAAGTCATAATTTCGACGGTTGCTGGTGCTTCGTTGTTTGGTTTGTCTGTCGTTTAGCTAATCCTAGGTATTATTACTACTCTCTGTTGTTGTCTTTCGTTCTATCTTTGCTTATGTTTGTCTGTTTAAAACATTTATTGGCCTAGTATTGTCATATCAGTTACACACTTTTCGTTTTTTCTGTGATACTCGTTCCTGTCTTTCACTGTTTAATCAGTCTGTCGTCGTTTTAGTCTGGTTAAATCTTTTGGTACTTCAGCCGGTCAGTCTGTTCTCCACAATTGGTTCATTGTGTCTCTTTCACACCATACTGATCTCTCTGCTCTAGACTAGTTAGAATGAACCAAATGTAGTCATGTGATATCCACATTGTTTATTGGTCAGATTTGGTAAAACTAATAGATACGTGGCTGCCCATGCCTAATAGGTAATGCTGCATGGGTTAAATTAAGTTATTATCATTTACTAGGGTTAAAGTCAGGGTAAGAAATCACCCTGATTCCATAATCAAGGCAACATTCATGGCAGGAGATACTGTCATCAATAAGTGAAAGCTGTGTGTGTTACTATGGTGATATGGGTCAACTTTGTTTTGGTAGTATTGTCTACTCTTTAAGCAGGTCTCAGAACCCTTTTTTTCACTTTGAGTGTCCTGGTAATCACCCTTAAAACATACAAAGCAAATAGGTTTTAAATTATTCAAGCAAATATTTTTTTTTATACAAAACCTAAACAATGATTTCTTGACAAGCGAAAGTTGCTTCTGACAGCAAACCTTTGCATATTGTACTGCCATTGGGAAACTTATTAGGCTTTTTTCGAGCTGGAGAGGAGGCTGCCATTGACGGGTGCACATGCACACACACGACTTCCTGAAAAGGATGGAACCAACATGGCCTCTCTCACATGCAGCCTGTTATATATACATTATGTTTTGTAATTATGAACAACAATTTGTGAACGACTTCTCAAAATTTGATCATTAGCAACGTAAATGATCTTTCTCATGACAGTTCAGTGTTC